CAGTCCAAAAACATGCATGTTAGGCTGATTGGTAACTCTAAATTGTCCCTAGGTGTGAGTGAGAGAGTGAATGGTTGTTTGTCTCGTTTGTCTCTATGTGTCCCTGTGATGGACTTGCGACCCGTCCAGGGTGTACACCGCCCCTCGCACAGTGATTGCTGGACATGGGCACCAGTGACCCCCGTGACCCAAAATGGAATAAACGGGTAAAGATAATGGATGGATGGATGGAAATTAGGTCAATTTGTCCTCTAGTAGTCTAAGCCTATGACAACATAACAAGCTAACCCTAACTATAGGATTTATTAAAAAGGTACGTCTTAAGCCCAGTCTTAAAACGGGCCAATGTGTCAGCATCCCGGACATGATCTGGAAGTTGGTTCCACAAAAATAAGAGGAGCCTGATAACTGAAATATCTTCCTCCCATTCTGCTTTTGGAAACTCTAGGAACCGCGAGTAAGCCAGCAGTCTGAGAGCGAATTGCTCTGTTTGGAAATTATGGAAGAATAAGATCTGTAATATAAGATGGAGCTAGGTTGTTGAGAGCTTTGTAGGTTAGAAGTAAGATTTTGAATTCTATTCTGGAATCAACAGGGAGCCATTGGAAAGAAGCTAAAACTGGAGAGAGATGATCTCTCCTTCTAACTCCAGTTCAGACTGCAGCAGCATTCTGGATTAACTGAATACTTTTCATTCATTCAGTAAGAAGAATGTAATCGGAAAGTACCAAGTACTTGCTAGGCAAGTATGTGGTACTGACTGGTATGTACCAGGTAATTACCTGAAATAAACCAGTTAGTACCTGGTATGCACATTGTAAGTAAGAACCAGATTGAATCATGTATTGCTATCCTAACAGCTTTATTAGAAAATGTATTATTTGGATAATGAATATTATGAACATAGAGCAGCAAGACAAGCACAATGTGAATTCTGCAACAGTCGAAACTTAAAAAATAAAATAAATGAGGTTTTTATTTTTATTTCATTTATCAACTGCAATGTCCCGTTTGTTTACTTGAAGAGGGATTCAAAACTTGCTGGGACCAGCTAACAGGGAATGTTGGTCCTGCCTTTAACTTTCGGAGGGACATATTTAATATTTAGTCAGAACGTCAAAGGGTGGCTACAGCCAAACTCAAGGAAAAATGATAAGGTGCAAAATACTGTGATGCACTTTTTGTTATTTCATTTTCTTATTAAATGTTTTTATTTAACAGAAACTTTAGATGCCCACTTTAAAAACCATTAATCAGAAAATGTTCTGTCCTCGTTCTGTCATGTTCAGAGCCCTGAAAGAAGGTGAGGCAAGGAGAAAGGCACACCCGGGACAGGTCTCCAGTTTATCACATGGCACTCAGTGTTATTTTAAAAGACAAATGAGATATTACCACACAGTCTGTTTAAAATTATAAAAAGAGTACAACTAACATGTTTAGAAAATGACAAGTAGATAACTTTTCATGAAAAGCTTTGATCTATTGTTCTTTTTTTTTTTTTTTTTTTTTTTTTTTTTTTTTTTGGGAAATGATTTACAAGTTGATTTTAAATGTGACATTTTGAAGTTGGTGTTGTGAACCCACAACAACCAACTCCTCAGTGCAAGTCAAACAGACAGCTAAAATGAGAACAGAAAAAAAAAATGCACCAAGCTTAGCAACAGAAAAAATACTTTGATGTCCACACAAAAGAGCAGTGGATGATCACTAGATTCGTTTCACTGTGGAGAGAAAGAGAAAAAAGCAAACACTGCACATCAACAAGCCGTGTAAGGAAAACTCACTGGGTGGTAGTCATTTGATCATCCAGGTCTATCATAAAAAGTCTTCACAACAGCTGAAGAAGGGTCAACACAAGGCCTAAACTATGCATAAGCCTCAAGACTAGAAAGAGCAGATGAGAATACAAAAACATGAAAAAAAGCACAAACTGAAAGCAATATTTCAAAATGTCCGAGAGGTTTTGAATTATCATTCCTTGGAAACATAAAACATAAAATGACTTACACGATGACTTAAAATAACTTACAAATGACTTAAATATTGGTTGCAACATGTAGTGTAGAGGTTTGCATCAGCTCCTAATCTCATGCATCGAAGGTAAAACACAAAGAAATGATCTGATGCGACTGAAAACGGTTGGACCTGGTGTGACCAAAAACACAATTTCTTGCACACAAATTCCAAATTTGTTTTGAACTCCCTCAAGCTTATATTTGACACATTTTTTGGGTCTTCATTCATTATAAAAGACACAACGCGTTACTTAAAAATTCAACTAAAATATCAAACTTGGTGTTACTTCTCCCCATTTTTGTCGACTACAGCGTATAGTGAAACCACTTAAATGTTAATGTAACGACTGGTAGGGTAAGTGAGTAAAAATGACCATTTATACACAAAATGAAAAATACATTAGAGCTAAAACCATCAAACATACTGTGTGAAATGAAAAGTACAGTATATCATGGCACGGACTTGCATGCACTGACACACTGACATTAACCCAGAAGGTACTTGGTGCTTTAATTGCTGACACTATAGCTCTGGGCTCTCCGAACCAAATAGGTTCCCTTGCAGGATACATAATCCATTATCATAAATCAGATGCGCCAACACAGACAGGTGCTGCATGAATAATTAAAGGTCGGTACATTAGCACTTTTGTGGATGCATGTGTTTGAGCCTGCGTCACTGACGAGACTAAAAGCACCGTGAATTCTCATTAAACAGCTTAATGTTTTGCACCGCATACGGAAATGAAGCACACGTTAGAAGGAGACCAGCTCCCCCAATCCACCCACTCTGGTTGTAACCAAAACAGAAAGGTCTGAAGGAAGCGATGTTGGGTTAGACACTGCTTGAAGCAGTGTTTGTCCCTTCTGTGGCTGTTTGATCTTACCTCTTGTGGTTTGGCTGGTACCCTTCTTTGAACCTGTAGCAAGGTAGATGGGTTACTCTGACTCTGTGATGGAGTCTACTGAGCTGGAGGCAGCGTAAGTAAAAGGTCTGCCGAAGCAAGAAGGCTTCAGGTCCAACAATTTCCATACTAACATTAATTACACCTTAGGCATATTCATTTGGAATTCTGCCCAATGAGAGATAAGATTGTGCTGCAGACAGGGCCAGAGAGGAGCCTGAGAGGAAAATGAGAAGCTCTAGACGCTGTTCATTTTGGGCTCTGCAATGGTTCACGTATTACTCAAAGTTTTGTGACGTCTTATGCCCCGTATGAGGGATTAAATCTGTCTGGATTTTCTAAAATGAAAATTGAAAAATATGTCCTAAATATCAAATTTATGAGTAGCGACATCCTAAAAGCAAAAGGGGGAGTGGTGGTGAAGAGGTTAGAGAAGGTGGGCCTGTGATCGGAAAGTCACCGGTTTGACTTCCCGAACCGACAAAATCAAAATGTGGGTGGTAAAGTTAAAAACACCCACACCTGACTCCATCCTCATTTGTCCCACTCTGGGCCCTTGAGCAAGGCCCTTAACCGCCACCATCTGCTCCCCCGGGCGCCCTAGATGGCAGCTCTCTGCTCCACACAGAGGGCTGTGGTAGCTCGGTGGTCTGTGGTTGCGTCAGGATGTAAAAACAATTGCCGAGCCTTCGTGGGAGTTAGTTCGCTGTAGCAATCCCTGAAGAAGGGAGCAGCCGAAAGTAGAAGAAGAAAAAAAAAAACCCAGTGTTTTAATGTAGATGACTTCTCCAACGGCAGCACGGTGGCGCAACTGGTAGAGCTGCTGCCTCTCAGCGAGCAGGTCCCTGGTTCAAACCCCGGTCCAGGGGCCTTTCTGGGTGGAGTTTGCATGTTCTCTCCGTGCATGCGTGGGTTTTCTCCGGGTACTCCGGTTTCCTCCCACAGTCCAAAAACATGCATGTTAGGCTGATTGGTAACTCTAAATTGTCCTTAGGTGTGAGTGAGAGAGTGAATGGTTGTTTGTCTCGTTTGTCTCTGTGTGGCCCTGTGATGGACTTGCGACCCGTCCAGGGTGTACCCCGCCCCTCGCACAGTGATTGCTGGACATGGGCACCAGCGACCCCCGTGACCCAAAATGGAATAAACGGGTAAAGAAAATGGATGGATGGATGGACTTCTCCAACATCAAACAAACCTTTGAATAAAAAATAATATCAAATCTATCTACAGTACTTTTTTTTTGTTTGTTGATTTGTAATTAGAATACCATTGGATCTTAGGGTTTAAATGAGAGCTGTTAAGACATCATCTTAAAATTTGGTAAACTGTGATAGGGGTTTTCTATGTTCTGACCAAAAGTATTAACGAGCTCATATAAAATATTCACCAGACTGCTCTGCAATAAAACAGCAGTTATACGTGAGCCTCGTGTTTCCTCAAAACATTTCTTCCCTCGGCGTTATAAATTACAAACAGAGAGAATGTTAAAAATATACATCACATTTATTTGTACTGACATCAGGAGTCCGTACAGAGTTGTCTTTGTCTATCAATGAGCTTGGGCACTAAAGGTTAAGTACCTGTTTCCTACTTCCATACATCCAACAAACGTTATCACCAAGCAATGCTGTATCGCTACCAAAAAACAGAGTTGGACGTTGCTGTTACACACCACTGGTATTTTTCTAAAGGTAACACAATGTACAAAAAGCAAATCTGGAAATAGTAAGATTCTTAGGTCCATATAAAACTTTCTTCTTCTTCTTCTCAGTGTATGAATAAGAAAACAATGCACTTATTTCTACCGAGCTTCTGCTGCGTTGCTGTTCGGCAGCCAAGGGGTAAATTGATGCAGATGAGTAATGAAAAGAAACAGGCCGGCTGATCCCTGTATTACCACCACAGCAGCTTTCAAGGAATTGTTCATGCTCTGCGGGTCCCCAGAGCTGCAGGAGCTGTCTGGAAGTGGTTAGATGCCAGTCAATGAGAGGGGCACAGAACGCTCAAATAAATGATTAAACAAAACTTTTTACACAAAGTACAGTACAACACCACTGTGATGTTCAGTAAGAACTGTGTGAACCAAATATCCGGGTCTAAAAATAAATAGGGAAGAGAAAAAAAGATGGACTTCGATGAGCTTCGTGTTAACCGGCTGACTCAAACCCCCTGTCGGCACGCCTCAGGCCCTTTGTGATGGGTAAGGCCAAAGCAATCAGGCAGTCAGAGGGAGTTAGGGAGCAGAAGCCTGGTGGCCCCCTTCAAAAAATGTGAGGATAGCACCGTTTCCTCACCAAGAAGCTGAAGGCACCAGTAAAACCAGGAGTAGTGCTGTCCAAGTTAGGCTCTGTGGCAGACAGTGCACCGAACACTGGTTGCTTTTTGCTCGAACGCCTGAAACAGGAGAAGGGGCAAAGAGGTGAGCCAGTACAAATGGACACAACAAAACATTCATTTTGGATGCTACGCGAGTCTGTTAGTATTCTAAATGAATTGATCTTATGGAGTCTGGAGTTGTGGAGGAATTTTTTTTTTTTTTCAAAAAGACATAAAAAGAACATTGAAAGAAAAGTGAAAGTATAAGAAAAACAGCAACACATTGCCCCGCAGAGCTCCTTTATCACATGCAAGACCACAAGCCTTCTGTTCATCGTGTTGCTTTGGAGTTAATTGGCTGTGCACGAGTCGGACGGTTTGAGTGGGCAGGGTAATTAAAGCAGCATTAACCAAAGGAAACTTGAGTCGCACAACAAATGTGTTGACAGTATTATGGCTATAGGACACAGAGGCTACAAAAAAGAAGATGGCTTATGTGTGGAGTTTTAGGTTTAGAGGTCGTGCATGGCAGTGTGTGACTAAGAGGAGGGACAGCTGCCCAGCTCTGAGCTCACCAGAGGAGGTGACAACTCGAACTTGGGAGGTGAAGGCTCCCTCTCCACCTTCACTGAGTGCACGCACGTCAATGGTGTAAGTGCCCCCCTCTGGCAGTGAGAGCATGGTGGAGGGGTTAATGGTTCTTGTCACCTGGATGTGGCCCCGACCCTCCTGTTTGAGTAACACCTGCAGGACATGGGGCACAAATCCACTTCTAGTTTACACCATATGTGAATTATTGAAGGTCATTGCATTCTACATCAGTAAGAGGAAAAAATAAACATTCACTGAACTGCATTTACTGCGAAAATGCAGTGTGAATGCTTATTGCTGAAGAACTTGCTGAAAAACAGCTGAAATTAGCTAAACATGCTGAAATGGTAGCTAAAATGGAAGAACAAGCCTAAGTTAGCAGTAGAAAGAGAGAACACATATTTGCTGAATTAGGTTTAAAAAGGCACAAAGGAGCCAAAAAAAAAAAAGGAAATTAGCTAAAAAAAGGCAGAAATTAGCTAAAATAGCTGAAAAGTAGCTGAAAAGGCAGAAATAAGCTTAAACTACCAAGTTGAAAGAGATGAAATGAGCTCAAAATATGTGGAATTAGCTGAAAAAGCTAAATTTAGCGCAAAACAGCTAAATAGTAGTTGAAAAAGCAGAAAAAAGTTTAAACTAGCAGAAATAAGCTGAAAGGAGCATAACAAGCTGAAATTATTAGCAATAAGTTAATTAGGCTGAAAGTCACAGAAATTACCACAAAAACTTGAATTTATGTGAAAACAGCTGAAATTAGCTAAAAAATGCTAAAACGTTAGCTGAAACGATAGAACAAGCTTAAATTAGCAGACGGAAGTGGAGAGCGCACAATTTTCACATAGACTGAAAGTAGCAGAACTTAGCAAAAAAAAGTGGAAATTGAAAAAAGCTGAAATTAGCTAAAAACAATAAAAATGAAACAGCTGAAAAGTACCGTAGCTAAAAAGGTAGAAATATGATTAAACTACCAGAAGGAAGTGGGGAGAGCACATTCTTTTCTGAAATAGGCTGAACAAAATTTGACATGAGTGCAAGAAATGTGGAATTTGCTGTAAAACCTAAAATTAGCATAAAACAGCTAAATAGTAGCTGACATAGCAGAAAATGATGAAACTTGTAGAAATAAGCGTAAAGGAGCATAACAAGCTGACATTAGCAGAAATAAGTTAGAAGAAGCATAACAATGTTGTAGTTAGCAGAAAGAATATGAAAGGAGCATAAAACAACTGAAAAAACCCCAGCTAAAATTAGCTGAATGTAGCTGAAATAAAGATTAAATTTGTACAAGGAAGCTGAAAGAAGCTGAACCAGAACACAATGTGAAAGGAGCAGTAAAAGGTTGTAAACTGATTTAAAGATGTGAAGGACGTAAAATGAGCTCAATTCATTTTCTGAGGGAAAAAAGTGGCAGAAAAGGCTAAATATTTCAAAAAGCTTAAGTTTCACCAATACCAAAAGTCATAGCACCCTTCTCCTGAACGAGCTGAACCTTTTGATATATAATTTGTTGGAAAAAAAATAATTGTGGAAAAAGAAAGATGCCAAAAAATGTACGGAAGAAAAATGGATCACAATAGTGTGAATGCTTCATAAACAATTACACAATAAAATCCAACGTAAGCACAGATAATAACTAAATCAATTGTAGAGTTACCATAAGCTAAGGTAAACTCAAGAAACATTATTAACACCAATAAAAAGTATTAAAATACTTCAGTTTGCCTTCCATCGAATTAAGCTGATAAAGCAGTAGATTGTTACCATGTACCCGATGACGTCAGACTCATTGTCTTTTGCCTTTACTGGATCCCAGCTTAATGAGATGTTATTGCCCTCTTGAATCCACATAAGGTTGGTAGGAGGCTGAGCAGGAGCTTTGAAGAGAGAGATAAACATTCAGTTTATTCAAAACAGTTCCACACCTGTGTACGTTGCTTGGCATTTTACAAAATTTCATGCAAACATCACAAGTAGCATGCATTTTGTGTACATCATCACATGACTGGTTTTGCTGCTGCACTCACGAGACATTCTCGTCTTGGCTGTGACAGGAACATTGGCAGGACCCTGGCCGATGCTGTTGAAGCCTTTTACTGTGATGAGATAGACACTGTTCCCTTCAAGGCCTGTCAGAACCATGGAGGTTTCGTTTTTTACTGTACGTTGTTTGTTTCCAGCCTCTTCCTGCTCAGATTCCTTCCAGTAGCTGAGCTGTTAACGGAAAAGAAGACGAAATGACAATGATTGCTCTTAAAAACATTTGAGCTAATCCATGAAAGGAACGGAAGCTTCACAAACAGTCGTACAAAAATAGAAATATGTATAAATACCTCATATCCTCTGGGCCTTCCAGGACCAGGGTTTGGTGGTTTCCAGGTCACCCTAATTTCCGAGGAAGAAATGCTGTACGCTTTTACATCAGATGGTGCTTCTCTTGGCTCTGTGAGGCAAAGCATATAAAGACGATTGCGTAATGAATAAACATTCTCTGCTGCGAATGATGTCCGGAATATTAACACACCTCCCTCCGCAGAGTGGATGATGACAACTTTGCTGAACGGCCCATCTCCCTTATTGTTGTACACACCAACTTTCACTTCAAACGCGGTGAGAGGGGGAAATGTCTCATCCCTGTATTTGTACATGGTCGCATCCGCTGAGGTCACCATCTTCTCCTTCCAGCCTCTGGTCCCATTGGCCCGAAAAGCAACGATGTACCCAAAGCCCTCCCCGTTTTGGAACTCCTCAGAAACAGGCTAGAAGTACAGAAAAGCACAGAACAAATCACCGAAAAGTCATTGAGTTTAAGAGCAAGCCTCTTTAGAAGCGCTGACGTCCTGTGATGGAAAATAAACCATTTGCACATTTTTTTCCCCTGGACATGCCTTTCAGTGCAGGGAAGCATCTTACTGAACAACAGCATCAGAAATATTTTATTTTTTGTGACAACCTAAGAAAACCAGCTTTCACTTTCCTTTATTGTAATGCCTGCTGGTGTTAGTAATGAAGCAGCCAGCCTCGAGTAATGGAAACAAATCGTATTTGGCTCGGTTGTGCCCAATACGTAGCTATTTATCTTTGCATGTTTGACAGGAGGATTTTTTGCGACACAGGTTTTGTGTGCTGGCTTTCGGTGATTATCTCTGGTTTTCCTGAAGTGAAGAAACTGGGAGCTGTCTTCCGCAGCTGCTCTGTGCTTAATCAAATCAAATGCCAATTTATTAAGTGAACTAGAATCTAATTAAAATATGAGCTGCAGGGATTAAATCTTTGGCTACAACTAATAAATGACAAACACCTGTGCACCTGTTTTTGGCAACAAGTCTGCTGCTAATGCTGTAATGTGTTGATTTGCATAAGCTACTGAGTTACAGTGTCCCCTGAAGGCACCGCCCGAATTAGCCATCCAGTCTACAGAGGAATTGCGGGTGGATGGAGATCTAGTTCACATTTCACTCAACAAAGACCAATCACCTACTGTGACTGCCTAATTACAAGGATGATCAGTGAAAATAAATTAGCTTTCATCAACGTTATTATCAGATCTGGCATTGCATTTAAGGGGGTACCAGGGAGTATAGTTCTTTTGCAAATTGCATGGATAAATCAGCCAATAGATTTCAGGAACATGGTTTGGGGAATAAGATAGCCACAGATAAGTGAGGAAGCAGTGTGAAAGGGATGTAAGGTAAGTCCTCAGACTAAAATGATTGGACCTGCTGGGCTCATCGATGGTGACTATAGGGGCTTCACTAATAGTCCTCCCTATGGCTCCTTGAGAAAAAGCAGTCAAACAGTCTGCTCTAATGAGACGGCTGAATGAAGCTAGGGAGCCTGTTTAGTCATTCATCCTGCTTAATAACCTTGCCCACCATGGCAGTGCAGGCTCTGACAACTCTCCACAGATGATTGGAAAGGCAGAACTGCCACGCACTCACATGCCCTGACTGCCAAAAAGGGCTAACATTCCTGCACCGTCTCCTTTAATATCCAGCTTCATTGATCACTGACAAGACGCTTGATTTATTTGAAAAAGCATTTAGCTGAAACAAGAACAAGTAGGGCAAAGCAAAAACAATTTAAAATGTCATATGCCAGCAGGAGGCTTCTGCATCTAAGTGTTGTGATTCATTAAAACTACATCTTGGACATCGGAATGAAGAAAACAAAACACCATGTTGGAAAACTTGTTCTTTTTTTAAACAACAGCACAGCTGAGAAACTTTTTTTTCTGAAACCAGTTTTTCTTTTCAGTCCAAGTGGATCCTGCCATGAACACAGTCTTCTGTTTCATCAACAACCAGTCCCATTTGTGTCGTTGTAGCTTTTTGGTTTAACTTGTTTCTACAATTTTAACATAGGTGTAGGGAGGTTGTCATTGTGTAATCCTCACCAAAGTAATCACACATATGTTATAAATAGGATGAGGTGAACTAGTAAGCACCATCCCATCTGGAATGGACGTTATGCGCCACCGAGGGGCACTTCTCCTGATGTGAAGGTTATCTTCCCGGCTCCAGTTGGGTTCCATACTTAATAACTGCAAGAATAAATGTCAGTTGTCTCCACATCTGTTCACTCATTCCATGTTAATATATCCTTCAACCAATCTCAATTGCAAATGATCATCTTTGCTCATAGTAATTCGGAGCATGCATCGCCCCGAATCTGGCTGGGAGCCAAGCTGTCAACTTGGATCTGGTCCACATTAATATCCTGCTAAGTTGGTGTGAGATTTATTGCATTTTCTGCAAACACTGTAGCTAGAGATTACAAACACATATTCATAAACATCCCTGGCTTTAGTGGGAATGAGTCTAAGAGTCAAGGTTAATCATCAGTGTGCCTCTCTGGTGGGACCAAATTTTGAATTCCCTACATCTTAATCACTTGCGCCGCTGATGCAGCTTTGTGTAGTACACAGCCCAGCTGCCCCTCTTTGAGCTTTATCAGCAGGTTTTGCTATTGTGACCAAGTTGCCCCTCTCTCTTTACGATCCAGGCTGGTTAAACAAATAACAGAGAAAATTGGAATCCTTCTTAAAATGCAGTGAGCTATGATCTTGTGCCGTTGTTGCCCAGTTATTAATAAAGCACGAGTTTTTGCACTGCTGGTAGCTCCACAGCTTGCATCAAGCCTGATAAAGCTCTAAGACTTGCAAAGAGGTGCTAATAACCATTTTAGCAACTTGAACAAGTGCTGAAAACAAGCTTAAAATGCAAGTATGTGCAAATTATAAATGTTTTTAAAACTTAGCACTAATTTGTTTTACACAAAATGAATCAGAACTATGTGGTAAAAAAATTCTCAGGTGATGCTTTACGGTCTTCTAAGATCGTTTTCACACCTGATAGTCCAAAGTTTGGAAAGTTTGTTTACATTTTCAGCTGGTGTGGTTCACATTCACACTGCACTGAGTCAGTTGAGCCAACCTGTCCCACCCCCACCCCCTTACTGAAGGAAATAAAAATCCCTGAAGAAGACACTTCTTCTTCTTCCGGAAATAAAAACAAAAATGGAGTGGCGTCAATTTTTAGCAGTTTTATAATTTCTGTTTTGTCAGTGGCTCATTTGCCAAGCAAACATTTTTCAACAATGGACTCAACATGAGCTTAAGATGAGGCAGAAGACCATGGAGAATGTTGTTTTTCACACAAGGCGGCTGACAGCTCTGTATGAGGTAAGAGAAATGCACATTTGTTTGACCGGCGCTGTAGTCCACTTCCTGCATTTGGAGCGGTCTCCGGTCCGCTTGCATTCACACTGCATTCGAACTGCACTAGAGTTCACGTCAACCGAACTGAAACCTAGGTATTTAGGTGGACCAGAGATCACTTTTTTTGGTCCGCATCAGAGTTCGATTGCACATTCACACCTCCCCAAATGAGCCGGACTTTCTAGGCAAACGGACTAGAGTACGATTAAAGCAGACTAAACAGGGCTGGTGTGAATGCACCCTAATTCAAATTCCCACCTGAGACCAAAAAACGTTTAATCTTTTGTCTCAGAGCATCATGTCAAATCTTTTTCTTTGGACAATGACTTCTTCACCTTCTTCTCTTCTATGGCAGAAAACAATTTTATGCCAATGAACTCCCCTAATGTTCATTCATTTAGTTAAATGTCTGGTCTTCTTTTATGACCAGCCCAGAGACCCACAGCTGGAGTTCAAATTCAAGGAAGTCAGATAATATCATGCAGGATACAACAGATGGGCAGGCAATGTATCCTTTCTGAAATGGAAAAAGGTCACTTTGCCCTAATGATAAGTACACACCTATGCCCCACAAGACACCCACAACCTTTGTGATATTCTCCAGGATATAATGTACTTCTCACTTGTCTTTTTCTCTCAGAAAGGTTGTGACTTCCTGGGACTTTGTGCGTCACCATCTGGGATACAGTACTTTTGGATCTGCAGCTGTGGAGCTGGCTTCTATTTGATACAACTACTAGTATAGTGATGCTACAATGTTTAAGAATTGGAGACAATTTGGAAATGGATATGATCCATTTTTAATCCAAATACCGCAACTTTAAAACAAGTAAATATGTAAACTCATAGTAACTGCAACGATCTGAAGTATTAAAAAAAACAAAAAAACAAAAAACATTTTACATATTTGGATACCACTCATTTATCTGATGCCAACCACGAAACCCCAAAAGTACTAGCTCCCTACTTAACACTTAGTGACAATTTCACATAGCCAGATTATTGGCTGTGTGCGTAATTGCTTTGGCAGCGTTTCATAGCACAGATGCTAAACTTTAAAGTTCAAAAACAGTGAGAAATAGTTGTCCTCACAGAGGTGTTAAAACATGATAAAGTGTCAAGTCATTAATAAAGTTACCCGAAGTTAACAGACAGACTTCTGTCAGGTTGAAACATTTGCTATGACATAGAAGAAACAATACAAGTGCATTAAAACAGATCTGGATTTTTCTTTTGACCTGCTCTGAAGGTAGACAGAGTGTTGTCCAGAATATAAACTAAAGCAGGAAGACAGTAAATTCAACTCTCCTCCAACTAGGACACACAGCAGGATATCAAATATCCACCCCCAAAAAGAATAAAAAAGAAAATGAAATAAAAAATAAATTGGCACGCATGAGAACCACAGTGTTCCAGCAGGTGTGCAACCACTTTGGTTTTCTGCCTGAGAAAAACGATGTTTTGATAATTGCAAGGAAGACCCGGGGGAAACTAAGTTAATCTATGAAACCAAGAAAGTAAAACAAATACAAAATAAGTGAGTTTCAGCTTTTAAACTTTGTTAGAGGGACAGTTATTCTTTTGAGTTAGCATTGCGTCTTTCCAACTTTTTACAAAACAAATTTCAGAGATACCATGAATCTGCAATTTTTATTTTTTTTTAATTGGACTATTAATCCCCAATGGGAAAATTAATTGTCTGCATTTTCCCATTGTGAGTATGTGTGAAGCAGACGGCTGCCATCTAGGGAGCCCGGGGAGCAGCTGGGGGGTTAGGGTCCTTGTTGCCCAGAGTGGGGCCAATGAGGGTGGAGGCACGTGTGGGTGTTTCATCTTTTCCACCAACATGTTGATGTTGTCAGTCCAGAGAGTTGACCGGTGACCCTTTGATCACAGGCCCACCCTCTCTAAACTCTGCCCCCCCCCCCCAAAAAAAGAAACAAACAATATTTTAAAATAATAATAACAACAATAATGTGTTATGTATTGTCATGATTGTATGTTCCCATACAATGGTGAAATTGGCTCTCTGCATTTAACCCATCCACCACAAGGTGGAGGAGTGGGCAGCTATTGAAAGCTGCCCGGGGAGCAACTGGGGATGAGGTGTCCTGCTCAGAGACACCACGATATGTGCAATGACCGGGGATCAAACCCGGGACCTTCGGGTCCTGAGTCGGCTGCCCTGCCTCTACACCATCTCAACCTATAACAAAGGAACTGAGCGACCTAATACTGTATTTTACATTTTTGTCAAAACTGATCCGTTTCTTCAAAACTTAAATAAACTTTTCCTTATCAAATGCCACAACTTTCCAGACTTGACATCAAGTTCTTCTTTATCACTGGATTCATCAAGAGCATGCAAAAATGGGGCAGCAAGGTGGTGCAGTTGGTAGAGTTGCCGCCCCTCAGCAAGCAGATAGCCCCGGTTCAAATCCTGGCTGGGGGCCTTTCTGGGTGGAGTTTGCATGTTCTCTCCGTATATGCGTGGATTTTCTCCGGGTACTCCGTTTCCTCCCACAGACCAAAAACATGCATGTTAGTCTGATTGGTAACTCTAAATTGTCTCTAGGTGAGAGTGAGAGAGTGAATGGTTGTTTGTCTCGTTTGTCTCTATGTGTCCCTGTGATGGACTGGAGACCTGTTCAGGGTGTGCCCCACCTCTCGCACAGTGATGACTGGACATAGGCATCAGTGACCCCCGTGATTCGAAAAGGAAGAAGCAGGCAAAGATAATGAATGGATGGATGGAAATGCAGTGTTCCCTCAGTGAGGACTGAACTAGACAAAAGGGTCTTCTCCTACTCCGCTCCTGTTTCCTGGAATATCTTACAAAAAGATCTGAAGCTCTCGACCTTGACCTCTCTAAGTGGCTTTAAGAATCTGTTGGACTCCAGGCAGGGACCAATGCAGACCTGTTCCTGTTTTTAGTTTTCTATATTCGCCTTAGAATCTAGCTGTTTTTGTTACTTTTCTTTTTTTTAGCCTTCCTATTTATAAATAAATAAATAAAATAAATTGTATGCCTTTTTATAACTGTCTACTGTTGTCGCTGTTGTCCATTGTTGTCATCATTCTTTGTTGAAATCAGGTCTCTCTTGTAAATGAGTCCTCGAGGCTCAATGGGATTTACCCGTCTAAATAAAGGTTGAATGAATGAAAAAAAAAGCAAATAATGCCTAATCCTGTAGATAAAAATGAATATATGCGCACAAAACTTTTTTCCTTAGAGAGATTTGGCCCTGTAGGTGTCGTTGGGAAATGTAAAGGGTTTAATAACAAAGAAGAGGTTGTCTAATCTCAGATGTTGCCAGTCTCCGATGCTTAGCTCTGTTCTTTAAACACTCTGGCAAATCCCTCAATACGTTCACTCTTATTAAAGTGTATGAGCATGTCTAGACTCTTCTCATCACAAGCTGCGAGGACTTTCTGCTACGTTTTAATTAGATCCATTTCTGAAGGCTCTGGGAAAAAGATGACGGGTCCCAAGCACACATGAAGTAGAACTGCAGCTATTTATCTTACTGTATTTTACCTAGAGTGAATAAAACTGAATGCAAACTAATGCAATCATCTGTGCAATGTAAAATCATCAATCCATTTCCTTCAAGCAGAACCACAAGGACTGGTGTCGTTCATCAACCATGCTCCATCCCCCTTAATAATGGATGACAAGAATTCCCAGGCAACAAAAAATACATTTATGATGTAAAAAGAAAAGAACATGCGGTGGCAACCTCTACATCATTATTAAGCCACATTTACATACAGATTTTATTACTTACTGATCATCAGTTTCTGACAGAAACAATAAAAAGCTGCAGTTTCAGGACTGAACCTTGTTGCAGCAAACGTGAGAAGTTTATTCTGAGGCTGATTGTTTAAAAGTTTAGTTGTGATTTTTTGTTGTTGTTTATTTTAAACTGAAGGGCAGACTTCACAACTTAATGATCGCTTAGTACGTTTTAATTTTATTCACAGTGTAAAATAAGTTCAGTTGGTGCTGATTTTAACTTGTCTTTGCTAATTTTATCCTATTTTTAAATTTTACGAAAACACTTTTTTGAGCATAAAAACAAGTAGTATTCTAAAGAGCTCACGTTTTTTTTTTTTTTAATATTAAAAAAGTGACAGAGTTTCAAAGTACTTTGTCTGAAATGTATACTGTTTTGTGCTGCACCTTGTTCTTTCTGGAAGTACTTTAATTGGGCACATTTTAAACCTAATATATAACTTAAACTAACGAAGGGCTAATTAACAATGAAGTGATGTTTATTAATAGTTTACTATTAATCAGTTATAGTGCACGGATTATTGAGAAAGAGGCAAAAGTCTTTGTTTGGGCTAGGCTAATGGCTAGACAACACTGTCTCATGCCACAGAACGAAAAATAAGTGAGGTACCGACTTCCATTTTGGTGGGTGGCTACACCTCGGCGTAAGGAAGGAACTTTTGAAAATCAGGTTGCCACGTCAAAATGCAAAATGGCTGCTACCTCAAATATCCATCCATAGTGTGAGCTGGATAATACGAAAAAATAAGCAATATGCCAAATTCTATTTTGGTGTGTGGCTACATTTAGGCACAATAAATGTCCTTGTCAAAAAATTGGAAGGCCAAATCAAAATCCAAGATGGCTACCACCTTATGTAAATCAGCCACCCCTATCATTTGAGGAAGCTATGGTTTCTTTTTTTTAATGCTGTACTTAAAAGTATAATTTCCTCAAATGTTTGGGGTGGTTGAAGATTAATTCATGGTGACAAAGGCCACCACTGGCCACCCCCTGGCTCCGCCAGTACATTTGACAGTGGATGAAATTGCTCCCTTCACTTGCCATGATCCCTCCCTCTGTGCTGCCTGAGAGGCAATAAATAAATAAATTAGTAAATAAAATCCTACCTCTATTCCTGCCCAGTCGAATGTCTTGCAGGGAAAACAGTAAAAGTTAACATTCCCTGTTCGATGCACTCATCTCAAAAGCTACAAACATTTATTAATAAAATCCCTCAGTGACAGGGGACGTTAGCGTCTCTTGTTCTTATTGTTTTTCAGACATAAAATAACGCTTTGTCAAAAACAACAAACGTGTAGAAAACACATTAGAAAATGCTAATACTTTAAAATGTTGTACATCATATGTTTAGTTCGTCGATGTTTTCGCAATTAAACTATGTCATTGTTACAATGCAAAATGTGTGCTTAGAATAGAAAAACTTTGGGCTATTTTATTAAAACTCTGTGCTCTAAAAAGGTGTCGCAACAACTATTACACAGAACGTTGCTTCAAAGTTGACAAGACTGTCCCTTTAACACAAACAGAACAAACAGTGACTTTTAAATGACACAACGGAAAACTATGAGCAAGTAAATATAAATAATACAGTACTCCTGGACCATAAAAAACTACACCTGGACCAGAGCAATTATACCAGACCATAGAAACTACACTTTGACTATAGAAACTACACCTGGACCATAGAAACTTCACCTGGACCATATAAACTACAACTGGGCCAAAGAAACTACACCTGGACCATAGAAACTACACCTGGACCATAAATACTACACATGGATCATAAAAAACTACACCTGGACCATAAAAAAACTACACCTGGACAATAGAAACTACACTTGGACCAAATAAACTACACCTGGACCATAGTAATTATATTGGATCATAGAAACTACACCCGGACGAGAAAAACTACACCCGGACCAAAGAAACTACACCCGGACCAGAGAAACTTCACCTGGATCACAGAAACTACACCTGGGCCAGAGAAACTACACTTGGACAATAGCAATT